AGTTTGATTTTTATTTTATTGTTGAGTTATTAACACTATTAACTAATTTCTAGGTATGAAGGAAAGTAGTCGTCTTTCCTCAACTTTTCTCTCTTGTAAACGTTTATAGGCTTTAATACGGCTTAACCTGTCAAAATTGAATGATCTGAAAAGAAGATCGTCAAGAGAACAGACATGCGACAACGCCACGAAAGAAAGCCCTGCACTAAATTCTTTATCTCCAAGAGATATATATGCCTTAGGTAAGGTGAGCCCCTGGCTTTTGTGAACTGTAATGGACCAGGCAAGGCGAAGAGAATCTGTGTACGTGAACATGCATTATCTGTTTTACCCTCCCAGGTACGTTTAATTGGTGTAATTGGAACAACTTTTGTACCCTCTATACTAGTAATTGTAGGCTCTTGGTAACAATCGAAGGATACAAAAACCGCTATAGGTAAGGAAGGGGGTCCATGATCTTTGAACAAAATATCTTGGACAGTTCCTAATGCTCCATTCACAAGTCTAGATTCTGTCCAAATGTTTGCTATAAGCATGATGCGTGCTCCTCTTGCCAACAACAGCTGTACTTCAAGACCATGTACAGTGTCTGAGTCGGCTCTTTTAGCATCTCTATCACTGCTGTGTGTTGCAATAATTTTAGCAACTGGAACATTTAAAGCTCAAAGCTTATCAATGTTTACGACGTCCACATCAGACCATTTCGGCAGAATGTAAGTAGTTTCTGAAAACTGTTCACACTCTGCTCTTGATAACTTTTCTTCGAATCGTGTGGTAAGCAACTTCCAATCATCTATTGTAGATTCACCATCACGAAGTCGTAAAAGGATGTCTCTGAACCTTCTTTGTTCCTCTGAATTTCTGGATTGTCGCTGAACTATGTCAAGTTTGTATACCTCATTGAATTGTTTGTATGCTACATGCCCGTTATTTGACAATGGATCTTGTCTTTTAACGCTGGTATATATTGGGAGATCAAGTACTGGTGGAAGTTAGCCAAAATCGCCAACTATAATAACAGACCTTTCACTGAAGAGTTCATTTCTGTGTTCTGGAAAAGCTTGGCATAGACGCATGTCAACTAAAGCAAGCATGCGCCGTTCTACTATACTTTTCTTATCTATAATTACATAGATTACGCCTTCTAATTTTTTTTGTAGCTGTTTTAAGTGTTCCCCATTTATATCCAGGTTATCATTGCCATCATTTATTGCGATTGAAAGGACCGAATGGATTGTCATACCATTAATGTTGTATGCTGCAGCACCTGTCGGAGCAAGCACAAGTACTGGTGATCTAGATCCAATTCCTGTCATTTGATGAAGTGTGTATTGAATTACATTAACGAGGTATGATTTACCCGTTCCTGCTGTTCCTAATATTATGATTTTTAGTGGTTCAACATAACAGCCTGTAAGCACATTACGATAATGTGATTCAATTCTTTTAAACACTTTCATTTGATTATTATTTAGGGTTTGAGGATTTATGAAACCTGTATTTATATGCGTATTCTTGTCTGTTTGATGATTTCTACTAGAAGCTTGACGTATAAAAGTGTCGGCGTTTGCAAGGTCAGTATCAGAGTAGCGTTGCCTAGCATCATCAACCCATCTATGAGTAAGATCCATATTATGAGTTCCTAGATCGCAGAAATCATTTATGACTGCATTTGGGCCCATTTCTGCCAATAACATCCAATCTAATCTTAATTCTTCCTGTTCATCATCATCAGGCTGTTCACTCTGATTATCATCATCATCATCGTTGGTAGGCTCGCCTTCATCTACATGGGTCCAAGTAAGTTGATTGGGTCATTATTTATCTTTTCGTAATAACGGTTATATAAAGTTGACCATTCAATGGTATCATTGTTGGTCAGTTGTTCAATATCTCTATATGGAATATGTAGAATAACTTTTATGCGGCAAAACTTCTCCCATTGAGGACCATTACGTAAGGGTGAAGGCCGTGAAAAGATATGTACTATATTTTCATGCTTGCATTTATTCCAGTTATTCCAGGTAAATTTATGAGTTAAATTAAGCTGAAATAAAGAGAAATTTTCAAATTCTGTAGGACGTTCCCAATATAATTTTAGAGGTGACTAGACTATGTGTCCTACATCTATAGTTGTGAAATTACTTTAATTCTATGTAATTTGGGTAATTTTTACAGTAAGTTTTGGTAAATCAGTTTTCATGTAATTTGTAATTTATCACGATTTGTAGCAAAATTTCAGTAATTGAGGGGTTGAAATGTGAATCATATATTCAAATCAAATGATTCACTAATGCTGGGCGAGCTTTTGTAAAGCTGGTACTTTATATGTAGCGTGATGAAATTACATAAAATTTGATTTACTAAAGCTTGCATAAAATTATATGTATTGTAAGTTTGTAATTTCATAACACAACCCCTACCTGTATAATCCGCGCTATTGTACTCTTCATTCTCTCTACTACCAGTACCACGAATCCATCATGGTACTTCTTTGTTAAGGTTCAAGGAGACAAATACCCGACTAGAACGGTATAGTGAAATACCTAGAAGAAGATGACAGGTTTCCTGAGCAGAGACATCACGTTCTGAAACACTATGTAATAGTAATTTTTGAATAAAAGAAAGTGATAGATTTTCTGGATTGCTTTTTTGAAGAATTTGGTTTAGTATTTTAAAAAAAGTTGCTGATTGCGGTTCTGCTTTGCTTGCATACTTTGAAATGTATTGTAAAGCGGCATGGGTGCTAAGAATTGGTTTGATGTCTACATTTGCTCTCCAGCCCTGTAGTTAAAGTTGATTGTGTGGATTGATTAATGTGTCATTTCTTGCTGTAATAACCTCTGGCCTACCATGTCCATTATCGCGCAATATAGTATGATCAATAGTATCCTTAGGATACCCAAATCTACAGGACTGTTGTTCTAACCGATTAACGCAAAGGCAGTATAAGGGACTACAGCGCGTGTGTCATTGTAGCTTGTTAACCAATTCTATATAATCTTGAAGATCATCCTTCAGTTCTTTACTACCTTTTTGACATGGATGTCGTTCTGGAACTGGTGCATTAAGTTCAAGATTAATTGTGGAAACTAAAGTATCAATATATTGTGCCACTTTATTCATCGCTTTTTCATTACCTTTCATTTGTGTCCAATTGATTGTAGGCGCATTTTATCATTTTCTAATTCCATGCACGTGAACACTACCACGGTGCTGCCATTCAAATCGATACCACCAATCTTCAAGATCTCATTGCCACTTTAAAAAAGATCTCAAAGCGCTTGCAGAAGAACCAGACCGCAATATGCGGATTATCAATTATATTTTGCCATCATGTAGATTTAGTTACTTGGGCAGAGTTTTCGCTAAATATAATAAGTTCATGAAGCTCTGGCCAATGAAAGTCGGCAGCACTAAATGTAAAGAACACGAGCCCCCTTGAACCTATTTGTTTAATCATATCTGACAATTCACGACGTCGTCCTATCCAAAATTGCCGGGATCCACGCAAACCTTCACCATATCGCATAATGCGGTCAGCAATATATCTATCATCTTGAGCAATCATGTCTTGAATATCTTTAACTGTAAGTTGCTCATCACTAAATTTTTGCTTAACATACACTTTTCTCTCTTGCAGTGCCCGCCATCGCATTATAGAATTCAATGCAAAATATCTCCAACACGTATGTCGTGCAAATCTTCCATCTTTGTACTGAAGTAAATGCTTGAAATATTTTGCTGGATTGATATTTCTAATGCGTTCCGACCGAAGATTAGACGATCCTGTCGGGTAAAGAGTTGGGAAAGCACGTGCAATATAACCTGGTGTTCTAAATTCGTTAATAGGTGTATTTTCTATATTTGGCCATAGTAAAGGATTGCTCTCACTTTGTATACGGTTAAGAGTTTCTTTAATGGCAGTATTTTCTCTATAAACTGGTGGAAGAGACAGAACAAAGGTATGCGTAATTATATCATCCTCAACTTCTTCATTATCTGATTCTTTAGCTACTATTTCATTATTTGTGAGCTGATCATCAACATAACCATTTGCAGGTAAGGACTGAAGAACACCTTCATCAATTGTAATTTCATTATAATACTGATTATTTTCTCTTAACCACATTAATGCACAAGCAACCTTCTCACAATGAACTAGAAAATCCCTAAAGGATTCCGATCTTGCTGACTAGCGGCGTACAACTAATACATCCAATGATGAGGGACTTCGGGAAAGATGAGTAGTGAATTTATATACATCTTGCGGAAAGTTTATTACGTTTCCATGATACCCGTATTGCCCACCATGAAGTTTATAGACCGACATTACTGGGAAAACTTGCACAATTAACATTTCTTCTATCTCTGTAAGTTCTTGCAATTCTTCAGGTACTTCACCAGGGTTCATGTCATTTTCTTCAGAAAACTTTTTTGGTAAGGTCTTTTCACTATAACAACGACGACACTCTCCCATAGCAAGAACTATTGATGGAAAGCTTTCATTATATACGGGGCAAAGAGTATATTTGATCTTATCCATTTTAGTCTGAAATTTATGTAGAAGAGCTCGATCAAGTTCACTAAGATCAGCGGCAGAAAGTAGTTCAACAGGTGTAGTTGTACTAATTTGTATCTCCTGAATATTGGCATGTTGCATTTCTTGCTCATCATTAGTTAATCGACTTTCTTGTCTCATTTGTTCACTACTATTATTCATACCACCATTAACACCATTTACACTATCATTCACATCATTCACATCATTTACACCATCAATTACAATATTCGCACTATTCATACCATTATTCATATTATTCATATCATTATTCATATCATCATTCATATCATCGTTAACACCATCATTCACATCATCATTTACTCCATTCACATCATCAATTATAACATTCGCATCATTTACTCGATTATTCGCACCATTCATGCCATTATTTATATCATTCTCACCATCATTCACACCATCATTCTCACCACTTTCAGTTATTTGTTTTCGACGTTTTTGGTAACGATTGCGAATGCTTGTGAGACGCGTTTCTCATTCCTCGGGCGTTTCTACAGCTCTTTTTTCGCGCTTTCTTTCGCGATCTCGAAGTCGTTGTACTTCGCGTTGTTCAGGTGTTTCATTTTTTACGTTTTCTTTGAGTGTTGCAATAAACATTTTGGTTATCCATTGTTCACACAACCTTTATTGACATATCAGATAAGTAAAAAGTTTTTTGATTCTGAAACATATACGTGCCAGTTTGTGTTACGTACCCTGATTTACTAATATTTACAATTATCCTATCCCAAAGTAATTTAGAAGCGTGGTTTTGTGCTGAAATGAAAAAACATGATTAGCAGATACTTTATGTTTTAAGGTAGCACTTAACTATTTACTAATGATGCAAAAATTTATCAGAGTAGTGACTACTTATGGCATTACGGCTATGATGTAGAGGTCATACTACCCCGAGGTTATATTGCCATGAGTGATGTAGTATGCCATATAGCATTACTACCCTGAAAAATTTCTTTAATCAATCAAATTTCAAGTAAACATGCGATTTACACAATTATGATCAATTTTCGTATACTATCTAATCAAGTTGCTGAATATATGGTTCATGTCACCTATACTCATCAAAAAATGTAGATCATTCTGAAATTTTTATCAGATTTGGTCACATGTCTTGCTTATTATTGGTCAAAAATTCATGCCACCTAAGAAATTTTTATATTTATTCCGAAATTTGAGAAATTAATTAACTTTAACCTTTAATACTTTACAAAATAACAAATTACAGAAAAAAATAAGCCATAAATCTGAAAGAGTGGCATCGAATTTACTATTTTTATGGTTTATATTTTCAATATCACTTAAATTAAAAGACAAGAAGCTATTTGAATTTATATGAATTTTCTTTAATGACTATAAGTGACGTAAACCATACACATAAGAATCTCAATAATAAAAAGCCTAGTAATTATTAGTTTGTAGCAATAACAATAATATGTAAAATTTTAAGCTAAGTATATTTTTACTATCATGAGCTTAGTAGTTATAGTAAGGCCTTAAAACTATAATAGAGTTTATTAACTAATTATTCACTCTCTTAAATAGGAGTTCCGACTATTTAATTTCAAATAATATATATATATATGTATATTATACCTCTTATTCAATTTATATTGTTTATATAACTATAATTCTTCATTAAATATTATTATCAATTTTAAAAAAAAAATTTTTTTATTTTATTCACATTTAATATAGAATATTTATTAATCTATGTTCTCAAATAGGCTAACTGATTTTATAATTAGGCTGGAGCAAAAAGGATAGAGAGGAAGACTTTCGAGCTATATTCTATAGAATTTTGTTGATTTCTAGCTTCTGTCCCTGTAATTATGATATCAACAATCCACTGTAAAACTTTAATCAGCAATTCGATCATTGGATAGAAATATTAATAGCAAACTAATTAATAAGCAACTAATGGTTCTATTTATTAAAATTTATAATAAAATACAAAAGAATATATATGCCTAAGCAAAAGACCACAAATTATACTATAAGATTATTTTCAATGGCACTTAAAGAACAGTTAAATTATCGAAATAATAAATCAAACAAAAAGGTAAATGAACAGACAAATAATCTTATATTAAACATAATATGTATTGAATTTATTTACTACATACTTATTACTGTATAAATTCATAAAATTTTACTTTTTTAGAAAATTAAAATATTTTGTTACCCTGCCAGCTTTTTGACAATTATCATAATCTTTAAAAGTTTTACAATATAGTCATAAATCACAAGACTTAATATGAAGCATGCTTACATTTTTTGCTATATCAAGAATTTGTGCTCTTGTTTCAATTGTTAGAAAAATTAAGAGAAAGTACATGTTTATAACAGAGATTAGATAAAAAACAGTAATTACTTTCTTTATGACTTTATTAATGAACTATTTGTATCTTTTATGAATTATTTAAGTTTGTTGTATATTAATGTAAATTTATAAATATGTTGCTTATATTAATGAATTAGATTTATATTAAATTATTTAAGATTTGATTACATATAAATTGAATTGTTTATATTTATATTTCATTACAACTAAACTAAATTAATTGCCTATTCAGATTATTAACTCGAGATCACTAACTTGAGATTATTAATTTGATCGAGATTATTAATAATTACTTTCGGGATTATTATAGTCAGGATTATTGTATTTGGGATTATTATATTCGGGATTATTACAGTATATTTGGGATTATTACTTTTGGGATTATTTTATTTAAGATTATTACTTTCGGGATTATTACTTTTAGAATATTTTTTTCAAGTTTATGATTCTTTGGAATTATGGTTATTTGTGATTTTTTTTTTCGAGATTTTAGTTTTCGAATTAATGCACTGTCGAGATTTTGATTTTGCGAGATTTTGAATTTCAGAATATAGTACCATTGGGATTTAGTTCTTCAGGATTTCGTACCAAATACATATAATCACACTATCAAACTATATAATCTAAAAAACATGATAATGCATAATACTATTAACATGGCCATGACAGTACAATTATGGAAAATAAGCACCAACTTTAAAGAATTAGAAGGAAGGAAGAAAAATTATCCATTATAGGTTTTTTTTTATATCAAATTTTCTTACTGGACCAATTAAATAACAATAAATTTTGTTAAAATAATTCACTGTATATTGCTTTTTTTTTTTAATAAAAAAAAGAAAAGAAAAAGAACAAGAAAAATTTTGGGAATCATTATGAGTTTATTTAATGAATTAGAAAAGATAAACCAGTTATATCTTGAATACAGTAATTGATTACAAGTGGCTATTAGATCTGTTTCTTATATAGCAGTTAATAAATTTCTGGATCTTCGCATTTTTGATTTCTTTTTATCTGATTTTTGTTAAAGATGACAAATAAATTTGTTAAGCATTTGATTATAACCATAAGCTTGCCATATTTGTAATCACACATCCAACCTATGGTTGAATTGATCCATGTTCATGCTAGTTTGAACTAATTTTATTTTTTATATACAAAACTGGCTTAACCCAAAATAAAACTGGGATTCTTACTATTATTATTATAGATTTGATCAAAATTCAATTACATGTTACCAGGTCATAGCTTTATAAAAATAAACTTTTAATTTTATAAGTTGAAATTTTAAAATTTTTTAAATAAAAGTCTGGGTAAGCAGGTCTTTTTTTTTTATTATTATATGGCCTAATAGTTGGCTTGTGCACAAATACAATTGTGTTATAGATTTTGATTGTGCGTAACACACTACAAATTTATTTATCTTATTTTTAAAATATATATTGATTATTAAAAAATATTTATTATTATACTCACTAAATAATATGATATAATGCTTTAGTAAATATTCAAATTATTTGCAAAATCATCTTGGCAAAAATGTTGCTAAATAAGTAATTTGTGTTTTTAAGAAATTTTTGGTAGCAGGATATAGTAAATTAAAATATAACTTTACTTATTTGTATCTGAGCCTAGTGATGGGACCTCTTGATTAATAACAATAATTATTAATTATTAATCAATTAGTCAAGTTATTAACTAGAAACTACTTGATAATGTGCAGTGTAGTATCATTCTCGATTTCATTAAATTTATAAAAATTTAGACTTTAGGGTTTAATTTTATTATGATTTTACATATATTGTAATATGAAGTTTTTAATTTAATTACATAGAAGTTATTAGTAATAATCAAATTAATAATGGTCCATAATTTTAATATTTTATATTAAAACTCAAAAGTCTAGTGCTTGAAGTTATAAAAATTATAATGATATATATAAAGATCACTTATTGAGTTCCTGGTTTTTTCATGATTGTGTTATATAGCTATTTAATTATATACTATTATAATTATTAGTATTATAGTATCAAATTATTACACTACAAAGATACTATAGTATTAGTATATAATTTTACAACTTGTGTCTAGCATGGGCTATAATAGTACTTTCATAGATTGTGTTTTTTTTTGTCTTTTTCTTCTTCTTTCATTTGTTTTTGTTGTTGCTTAGACAATTTTTTTCACCCTCTTTTATGTTGTTCTTTTATATTTTTTTTTAGTATTAGTTTTTTTTTATAAGTTAGTTGAAGACTATGAATCCTTCTGCTTAGAAAGCTAGGAAAAGAAGGTTAGAAAAGAAGGCAATCTTGATAGGCCATAAATACTATTTAGTAAAATATTAAGTTATCAATTGCAAGATTTTTTGGTATGGAGATAAACTTTACTATAGCAGATTAAACATGGACAATTTGAATATTTTGGTGTTGCAAAGAGCTGGGTTAGCTGATACTTGTAATTTAGGTAGACTTGAGATAACTTAAGTTAAAAATTATATTTCTCTGGAGTTAAATATTGTACTCTAATAAAGTATTGGCAAGATTGCTGAATTTAAAAAAAAAAATACTAATTGGTTAGATATTAACTTTCAACAAGTTCAGTGGATAAATTAATAAACTGACTTAGCAGCACCAACAGATTTTACTAATCTGCAATCTAAAACTTAATTGTGATTAGTTATTATAAAAATTTTAATTTTTTTAAATTTTAGTAAAGATTCCCAATAACTACATGATTAAAATTAAAGAAATTTTTTTATTTTAATTCTATATTTTTGTAGAATTAAAATAAAAAAAAGATTTATTGAGTTTGGTTTAATAGTTATTGAGAAACTATTAATAAAATGTCAAATATAATAAGCTAAAATTGTGAAAAAATAATTTTTTCAAGCTTTTAAATGAAGTTTTCTCAACATCCACATATATAAATTTAGTAAATTTTTTTATTTTAATTCTATAAATTTATAGAATTGAAATAAAAAAAATTTGATTGAATTTAGTTAGGTAAGTGTTGAGTAAAATTTGCTCAAAATTTTAGTACCTTTTAAAAAAAAAGAAGTAGCTAAATTTTGAATTTTAGTAAATATTTCTCAACAATACCTGTACAAATTTGATTGAAATTTTTTTTATTTTAATTCTGTAGATTCATAGAATTAAAATAAAAAAATTTATCGAATTTATACAGGTAGTTGTTGAGAAATCTTTGTTTAAAATTTTAAAAAAAACTTTTATAAAATAAAGTTATAATAATTTTTTAT